AAGTAGCCAAAACATCATAACCAATATGATTCAGCCCTTTGGATTAAAAAACCTTGTGTAATATGTTGATTTTAGACACGGAACGTCATATTAATCCAACTGTTTTCGGTTTCTTTAAGTGAAGACACACTCACACCATGAATGAATTATTAAGAAACTAATGAAGTGGATAGGAAAGCAGTTGAATGGGAAAGCAAGTGAAGACAAATGAAATAAAAAAGAAAAGAAAAGCATGAATTATCAACCTAATTTTCCATCTCTGCAATCAATGCTTATGAAGCTGAAACTGTCATTTTTGGCATGGTGGTAATTGCTTTTGGCCCGTAGCGGACCCTCTGACTCATGAGAGAGAGGTGGTGGAACACAGATGGAGTGTTTCCGAAGCTCCCGAGAGCAGGACAAGACCTCCATTCAGGTCTTCCTCTCCAACCGCTGATTATGACCAACAACAGAAGTTCAGCAAACGTCTGGTCCAACACTATGTTTTATTCAAATCAAACCTCGATTCAGCCAAATTAATGTGATTGAGATGAAAGCTATGGCTGCAGGAAACACCTCGTCCAGAGAAATAAGTTTGCTTAAGTCAATCCAGGTGGGTCTCAGGAAAGCCAGTAGGGAAATTTCATGGCGGATGCAAGAGAATGCACCCTCCTGACCTGATTAGAATAAATTATGAAACAGTTCCCTTTCAGTCTTTAAAGATTATGTATAAAATGCGATGAAAATGACCTTACTTAAAGAGGCACTTCAAAAAACCACAAAGTTGACACAGCTGCAGGCACAACTATTACTAAATAGCAGTGGTGGAAAGTAACCAAGTACATTTACTCATCTGTGGTACTTAAGTAAACCTTTAACCACTGATACTTCACTTGAGTTTTTCTTTTAAATGTTTCTTTATACTCAAAATCCACCACATGTCAGAGGAAAATTATCTTTTTTACCTTGCTACTTTCTTTTGAAAACAAATACACAAATAAAATCTGATGCATTTTTATAGGTTAAGCTACCCAGTGGCATTTGAATTACCGGATGTTAAAGCAAGCACCACTTTGATGAGGTACAGCATTAAAATCCTGCTCACACATTTATGCATCAGTACAAAAATATCATATAACTTGTTGTCTGTCCTTTATCATAGAACTTGTTGTCTGACACTCACCTTAACACACGAGGTGATCGAGCTTTTGCAACTGTTGCACCTAAAATTTTGAATGTTTGTCTGCCTCCCTTCCAATCTGCTGACTCAGTGGTTTTAAAAGGCAGCTAAAGACACACCTGTGTAGACAGGCGTTTTGGTAACTTGTATGTACCAGAGCTGTACCTTTTCAAATCTTGTGTATTGTTGTTGTGTTGTGTAATTTCTTCTTTTTTTCCTTGTGTGTGTGCAAATAGTTTTGCTGGTAGTTTTGTGTACTTTTCACGATGTGGTTCACGCAGTCGGTTTGTCTCTATGATTTCTTTCTTGTTGTATATTGTCCTTGTGAAGCATTTCATCAGCTATGTCTGTGAAAAGCGCTATATAAATAAACTTTACTTACTTATTCTGCATTATGAGTACTTCCTTTTCTGATACTTTCAGTACATTTAGCTCAATTTTTTTACTTTTATTTTTACACTGTGGTGTTATTTTTACAGCAAAACATATTTGAGCAATAAGTTAGCAAGGTAACACAACCCATTATTTCAATACAAACCTAACACCATTATTAACAGGTCTAAATGAGCATTCATCAATATGTTTTTCTACAGTGTGACTACCCTGTAGGTAGCTATTTATGATTACTTAAACTTTGCAGTGTTGGTGGTGAAAGCAAACAAATCTATTCTTGCATATACAATACATTTTCTATTTTACTCAAATACTTTTTGGAGGGGATTTGGTATCCACAGACCAACTACCGCTACTGAGGTTCGGCAAAATTTAAAGGAAAAGTCCCCAGGCTGTAGACGTATGATGCACAATTTGGGTAACTGATGTTGAAACGTTTTTTATTTGATGTGTAGGCTATAGATATTTACAACTGTAGATTGTAAGAATCACTTTAGTCATAATGATAAATTAAAGTTAAAATATTAAAAACTAACCGTTATTTATTTCCATGTGATTTTTTTTGGCAAAGCAACAGCGAGCCACTGGAGAGGGGTGACAGAGCTGTAAGCGACTTCAAAGCCACAGATTGCCTACCCTGACTTGAGGTTAAGGATCTGAATAGAATTTAGATGCATGTTTTGATATATTTGGATTTGCTTAGTAATTACATTTTTTCAGCGTAAAAAAAATCTCCTTGTGTCAAGGACGGAAGATTTGAGACTCAAAACATGCAGCTGCAAAAATGACCTCAACATGTATGTCAACAGAAAACTTAATGTTTTACATTTGGACCATTACAGTAAAAATCCACACAGTTTTGGTTAAACTCTGGGTCTGTCACATATTTTGCAGTCTTTATTAGATGGAGAGCTAAAAATTATTGTGTCACATCATAAATTAAATGTTTTTCATAGAATGGGACACATTAGTTTCCCCCCAAACCGAGCAAGGAGCAAAGAAGTTTGAAAACCGACACTTCATTTTAGAAAATCAAGCCAAAGCCCAACACAGCCCACTTGACACAGTCACTCAACAAATTCAGCTAGTCATCTGTGAAAACGGCTGTTGATGAGAACTTCTTATCTGCAGCCAATGATCTATTTATCCCAGCTCTATCTGCTTGAGCGGTAATGTATTATTATAAATGAGGCCAGAGAAGGCCCTTGTGGTTCAGTGAGAGAACAAGTGTGTGTGAGATCCAGTGCAGTATGTAAACCGTTTGACATCAGTGTTTGGGCTTTCTTTATGAGAACATCTGCGGCAGCTGCCCTATAAATTCCCAGTGTTGAGAAAACAGGAACAAAAAGTTCAATTTTTGTATGGCAGTGTACCATGGCGAGAAGCGGACCCAGTCGTGCCTCATCTGCAGAGCCATGGCCAACGTTTAGGGAAAGTCAAATCGGGGATGGAGAACTGAGACAGTGTTACTGTGTGTTTACAAGTCTGTTCCGCATAGCAACAGAAAACCTTGAAATGAACTTATTGGTGGCCATCGTATCAACCCCAGAGGACAGACAAACACTTCACCCTGCTCTTTCTGTGTCTGTTTCTGAGACCACCAAGTCTCAGGTCTTTCAAACTGAACTGATTCCTTTCTTTCACCTTCTGTCAAGACTTGCTTGTGTTAGTCTCTTGACTGTTGAGCAATATTGGTGGATATGATGATGCTTTGTTTCCACTCTATGAATGTTTCAGTGACAGTGCTCTCCTAGCCTCTCACAGTCTACTCTACAGTTTAACTCTGGCCTCATGGGCAGATCTTTGTTTTTAATCACTCAGTGTTTGTGGTTAAATACAGTGACCAAGTATTTATAATGCTAAAATCATTTTTAGGAGATGTGTTATTGTTTCGCTGTAATGCCAGATTGTGTCCTTAGAATCAGACCAGTAATAATGTACCCTACACATATTCACTGATTCCTTCTTTCTTTCTGAATAAACATACATGCTTATACACTATAAGGTCCTTTGCACAGAGAGATTGGGCAATTAAATTCATTTACATTTACAAACTCTATCACAATTTGTGCAGTAGGCTATAGTCTCAAGTATCCAGTAGAATGCTCAGTACTTCCAAAACATGCGTTTTGTGGTGATGAAGAGAGCATAGATAAGTTTTGTGAGAGTTTAGTGAAAATGCATGTGTTTTGGAAGTAGCCTGCAAGCATAGGACTGGATAAACGAGAGTTGTGAGCGAGTTTGTAAACGGATGTGTTATTATAGTTTTGCAGTCATTCAGCAGGGTCCCCAATCAATCAATTTACTGTTTTCTGCAGGGGCATGCAAGAAATACAAAGCTTTCTTCACAAATCCAAGGAAACATGGAATGACTAATTAAATTACAAATGGTCATTTTGTGGGTGAAGTGTTCCTTTAATATCAATTACAAGTGGGATAGTGGCATTTTACAATTTACATGTCAGCACCATGTAGTACATAATTAGGGTGTCTACAGGTATCAGACAGTTAAATTTAATGCTTTTTAAGACCTGTTCAAGACCCAATTTAACTAAATTTAGGACAGATTTCTGGACAAATCTTGTTTTACTTATTTAAGCATTGCAAGTAAGCATTGCAGGCAGGTAGTATATATGTGGTCTGGTGCAGAAGTAAGTGTTTTATAGGAATATGGTTATTAGAGTGAGTTAAGCTGATTTACATTTTGCCAACAGGTAAGTGGAGATATGATGTAAATGTCAGTTATATAGCTGTTTGTTTGTTTTTTTGATTTGTTTTTTAAGATTTGTAACATTAGAAATGAGGACTTTTACAAAAGGTTTCTCTCATTTTCACAAAAAGAAATTTAAAAAATGGATAGATTAAATTAGATAAAATGTTTGTAGTAGTTAACACTCTACAAGACTATTAAGACTATTTAATGACTTTTAAGACCTTATTGTTGTAACATTTAATTTAAGACATTTTAAGACTTTTTAAAGACCTGTAGACTGATAATGGCACATTTACACATTATTGTGAATGGGCAGAAGTTCCAAGTATGCGATCTGTAGCAGCAGAAATACAATAATATATTATTTAATTTAATTTTATTTTATTATGGATATATATAGCCAGTACATTCGCTGATAAGAGCACTGAAGAGATTAAATGCTCCTCAGATTTTATTTCAGCATTTTTTAATTAAACTGAACCTAGTTTTGTTTTATTTCGTAGAATGGTAATTTAGATTCGCCCCAGCACTTTCAACACGCTGTCCGACAGTGAAATTTGTAAAGTTAAAAAAAAGGGGAGACAGCAAAACAAAAAAAAAACATTCGTTTTATTAAAATAAATAATTCTGTAGTATTTTTCTTTTGTGGAGTAGGTGTTCAAATTGTATTTAAAATCAGTTTGAAAATCGTCGAAAGTGCGTTTCTTGTCGTGAAAATACACAAACATCCATCAAGCTGCTGTTGGGCTGCAGCTGCTCTGCTGACTGTGTGTGTGTGTGTCTGTGTCTGTCTGTGTCTGTCTGTGTGCCTGTGCCTTTTTAGCAACTAAATGAACGTAACCGGAGGATAAAGTGAAAGCTTACTCAGTTTTCCCATAGTTTTCCCATAGTTGCCGTTGCCCTTTCTTTTGTTTAATATGTTCGCTAAGTTAAGCTAACCGAGCTAGCTAACGTTAGCATGCTACAGTGACTTCACCTACACACTGAGAAGAGGAGAGGAGGACTCTTACAATGTATCCTGATGGCTTCAACATCTACAACTGATAAAGGTTTGAAATGAATGTTTTTTACTTATTTCTACATTTCAGCGGGACACTGGTTTACACAATACAAGTCCAACACAAAGCTTTTGAAGCTAGCTAATAATTAAGTTAGCCATATTTCCTGTCCAGGAACATTAGGGTCTTAGTTACTCTCTTATCATAAGATTGATTCGATCAGTAGGTCAGATCTATGTTTAGATAGGATAAACTTAACTACTGTTAGTCTGATGATATTGCAGGGAGTGTAATAGTAGGAAAATGCATCCCAAACCCTTCCATAAAAAGATATTATTTTATTTTGTGAAGATATTTGTTGTAAACCAAGGTAAAATTTTAATATAATTTTGATTATACACACCCACTATTATCCAAACAATGTGTGTGCTTTTGATTAATTATATTTTTTTGATATGTTACAAAGCACATTTAACGAATGACATGCTTATATTGGTTAATAGCAGCATGGCGTGAAGGTGACAGCTGTCTGGCCCCTGACCCAAGAGATGGCACCCTGCGAGAATCCACCATTAAGAGACTGACCTTCTCCTCTCATAATAATAATGAAACTACAGCATGGGTGGTGTTCACTAACCATGATGAAGATGCAGAAGAGGATGAGGAAGAAACGGCGGAAGCTGTGCCTGTCTCAAAACTTATGAGACCAGGTTTGAATCACTGCACCCAGGAAAAACCCCTGTTTCCCGGCAGCGTCACAGACACCAGGCTGTGTGTCCCCTTAGAGCTGGGCCATGTTGGTGGACACAGAGTCCCCTACACCATCAACAGATACCTGAGGGATTACCAGAGAGAGGGAATCAAGTTCATTTACAACAATTACATCCGTTCCAGAGGTTGTATCCTTGGGGACGACATGGGCTTGGGAAAAACTGTACAGGTACAAAGTACACTAGCTGCACATCTGTTTTCAGAAATGTTTAAATGTCTGCATGATTTCTCCACACGGCTGTCTCTCTTGATCTCGCTCTCTCCACCTCTTTGGTCATATTTTAGGTCATTGGTTTCCTTGCTGCTGTATTGCACAAAACAGGCACATGGTGGGACATCCAGAACAACAGGCCTCAGTTTCTGCAGAGTCAGATGACCTCCTCCAAGCAAAGTAAACCAAACAAAGTGGGTATTGAAGTATGCTATATAAATATTTATGAATCATAAAACTTGTAGGGATAAATAAAGTCCTTTTTAAAATACCAGATGCATTCAATGACGTGCAGCAATAGTGTACAGCTACAGATATGAGCACTGATTTGGTGTTTCCATGATCTGGTCCAGGTGTTCCTCATTGTGGCCCCACTGTCAGTGCTTTATAACTGGAAAGAGGAACTGGACACGTGGGGTCACTTCCAGTGTGTGGTGGTCCACGGTCTGAAAAAAGAGGAGGAGTTGGCTCGCATCAGGAAGGGACGCATTGAGATCGCTCTCACTACCTATGAGACTCTGCGCCTTTGTCTGGATCAGTTTAACAAGTAAGAACCGTGCTCAACACACACAGGCAACAAACACCACACAATACATGCTCCTTGTTTACATGTATTTAATTTATTCCTTAAATACATGATAATTTTTTTTTTTTTTCTGTGACTAAAATCTACCTTTGCCCTTTCTGCAGCATAGACTGGTCAGCTGTGATTGTGGATGAGGCCCACAAGATAAAAAATCCTAACTCTCAGATCACTCAGGCCATGAAGAATCTGACATGTAAGGTCAGAGAGCTTTATGTTAAAAGATTTTGGGCTTTTTTTGTCTTTAATGAAAGGACAGTTTCAAAAGTGAATGGGGGAGAGAGAGGGGACAACATACAGAGAAGGGCCCTGGGCTGGAACTGAATCCACTTCCGCCGCGGCAAGGACACTGCACACCCCAGAGAGCTTTATGTTATGTCTTATGTCTTATTATTTTTTGTGTAATTAGACTCAGTGAGGGTTTATTGATGGTGGAGAGCCCTGATGGTGCTTGTCATTAAGAACTTTAATGTCTGTCCTCAAGTGCACAGGCGGAAGAAGTACTCAGATGTTTTACTCAAGTAAAGGTAATAATACTACAGTGTAGAAATACTCTGTTTACAGGTTTGCTCAAGTAAAAATATAAAAGTATTGGCATCAAAATATACATAAAGCACCAAAAGTGATAGTACTCATCATGCAGAATGGCCCATTTCATAATATTATATATTATTAGACTATAATCATTGAAGCATTAATGTGTTCATCACTTTAATGTTGCAGCTGGCAAAGTAATTATTAATTTAATTACTTTATATATTGCTGCTTAGTTTGATCAATAATTATACATCATATTTTATTAGTTGTATTAGCAGAAAATCGAAATATTCAAGTAAAGTACAAGTACCCAAAAATTACTTAAGCACAATACTTGAGTAAATGTACTTAGTTACATTCTACTCCAGCACAAGTGGTTTTCTTCTATGCTTTATTTAAAGTATATTGAATTATACCACCAAAGTGATAAACTGCTAACAAAATAGTTAACCTAGCTTTGTATGTGGACTTTGCTTTTCATGCTATGCACTCATATTTCACCAGATCAGAGTCGGCCTGACTGGCACCATCTTACAGAACAACCTTGAGGAGCTGTGGTGTGTCATGGACTGGTGGGTTAAGAGACTTTTATGTTACAACACATTTGTCATTTGTGTATTCAGAAGCAGATCTCAATCATCTCATACCCTGTAGTTTCAGCTTTTTGTCTGAGAATTAGTTCCTAACAGCTTTCATAATTTTTTTAATTCTATTTAGGGCCATACCTGGTTGTCTTGGCAACATAGGACATTTCAAGAACAAGTTTTCAGATCCTATTGAGCATGGTCAGAAGCACAGTGCAACCAAACGTGCCCTAGCCACAGGGAGGAAGACTGTCAGAGCCCTTGTGAGGAAGATTTACCACTTGTTCCTCAGAAGAACTAAAGCTCTTATCAAGGAACAGCTGCCTAAGAAGGATGACAGGGTGAGACTGGTGAAGTCAGACCAGACTTTATCACTTTAATGGTTCTTCTGTTCTCTGGAAGCTCACAATTCACAATCTACATGACTATATTCCATCATCGTAATATTCAGATGAAGGTCTATGACGTCTTAAAGCAACCTTCAAAGAAACTCTGTGTTTGGTTTTCTCGAAGGTGGTGTATTGCACTCTGACAGACTTTCAGCGCAGTGTGTATCAGGCGGTGCTGGACAGTGATGATGTGACGTTATTGCTGAGGTCTTCAGAGAAATGTGACTGTAAAAGTGGAAAAACCCGCGGAAGCTGCTGCTATCAAGTAGGTTCACAGCTTTTTATTGTTGCATGCTTCTGTATGCTGTGTATTGTAACAAGTTCAACTCAATTGTAGGTGTTCGGTTCTGACATTAATTAAGTGCATCTTATTTTTGACTCTTATGTGTGCAGGATCAGATCACTTAAATCAGACAAACATTTAGGGAAGATAAGCTTTGTGTGATTTAGGTGAACTGTCCCTTTAGTTATCCAAGCAGTACGTCTGCATTTTGCTTTTTAAATACAGTGTAGTGAAGTGAAATTGAAAAAGCACAATATCAGAGCTTGTTATCATCATCCAAAATATTTAAAGGGGACCGATTATGCTTTTTCCTTATTGGATGCTCATGTTAAATGTGGCCAGGGTTTCAAATAATGCGGTAAATGTATTTAAAAGTAATTCCCTCTACATCCGAGACAAGATGACATGGGCTCGTAATGGATTTCTTTATATCCAGGCACGCTGCTGCAAATGTTTACTCTACATAGCCTACACTGTTACATGTAGCTACATGCTAATGTCAGGGAAACCTGTAATCTTGGTTGCTGATGTTATTAATTTCCCCTCGATTTTGGATCATATTCCGGCTGGGTCCTGTCTGCTTCTGTTTAGAAGCTTTCATTGGTAATTTTTAATTGGAGAAAGTGCCGCCATTCTCCATTACAGTCATTCACCCAGCTGCATCGTTGGTGCAGAGATGCAAATCACAGCAGACTGGGCTTTTTTGGGAAGGGGCTTAAAGAGACAGACGCCAAAACTGAGCCTTCTCAGACAGAGGGTGAACACAGTTGTTCGAGCACAAACAGTATAAAGAAATGAAGTGTTTAAGTGACCATTAAAGCATATAAACGTGTTCCTGTAGAAATCCAAAATACAAGTATGAACCTGAAAATAAGCATTATAGGTCTATATTAGATGTGGGAAAGATTATTGCAGTTGAATTACATTTTTGGAAAATTTTCATATGGTTGAAATAATTAAGGATTCACTCTGAGGGAAAAAAATCTATTTTATTGCAGAGAAACTCAAAAGGTGCAAAAATTAAGACGCTCTACTTCAGTTACATGGCCATACTGAGGAAGGTTGCCAACCATGTAGCACTGCTTCAGTCCACCGCAGGAACCAGCAAGATGCAGGTAAAAACAGTTTTTCCAGACTTAGTTCATTGGACATCTTCTAGTGATGGATTTGGTTCACTAATATGACTCATTTGTTTCTTCCAGGAAAGGTATGTGGCTGCCATTTGTGCAGAGGTATTTCAGAAGTTTCCAGACTTTATGCAGAGATGCAAAGATGAAGCATTTGAGGCCTTGTCGGACCCGATGTACAGTGGAAAGATGAAGGTACAATTTTGGAACAAAGACTCAGAAATTTGAGCATTATGGGTTGTTTCAGTGTGGCTAAACAATGTATCTGTGTTCCTTTCAGGTTTTACAGAAGCTGCTGAAATACTACCTGCAAAGGAGAGATAAAGTACTTCTTTTTTCCCTCTCAACTAAGGTGAGAGCTGTGTTTGTGTGTTTATAGAAATCTGATTTTTAGTGTGTCTGTGTGTTTGCATGTGTGAGTGCACAGATATATAGTGTTAGATTAGGATGAGCAGCGTGAAGAGGTGTTTTCGCCGTCGAAAAATGATTTGATGCTCAAAACAATGTCATCTAAAATGGGAATATGCTTGTTGGTTTGAGAGCTTTACACTATCCATTCAACTTTTAAACACAACAGCCTTGAACACACACCCTTAATTGCCACTGATTTTAGAGCAGATGACTTGATTACAGAAAAAATAGTAGCAGGAGACATGGTTTTCTCATGACATACATTAATAGGTAAGCCTTGGGGTTTTATAAGTGGGGGCCATTAGAGTTTTAAAGATAATTAGACTCTGCAGAACCTAATGGTCGCTGTCACCCGAGACATTATGATAACATTTCTGGCTGCTATGAGGTCATATTTTCATGGCCTGTGTTTTGCTTTTTTAGTCCATACAGTTTTGATTGTACAAGACTCAGTATTACCCGTATAGTATATCTATAAATATACAAGCCTGGGGAAATTCTGTTTATTTTTTATTAAATATTTGTCTTGTTTTTACGTTTTATTTCTCAGTCAAAATCTTCAGTCTTGACAATGAGTGAATTCACATGTTACATGTAGAGATGCAAGTTTTTACTCAGTTAATTCATGTGCTTTGAACCCTTCACAGTTGTTTGTTGTGTTTTGAACCTGTCAGCTGTTGAATGTGCTGGAGAGCTACTGCATGGCGGAGGGACTGGACTACAGCAGGCTGGATGGGAACACCAAATCGAAAGAGAGAGTCCAGATCGTCAAAGAGTTCAACAACTCCTCTCACATCAACCTCTGCCTGGTTTCCACCTTGTTAGTTGAACAATAACAATTAGATTTCACATTTACATTTTAAGCCTAGTGGTGCTTTTTTCAGTATTCAGAACCTTGAAACTGCTGATAACTGGCTCTGTGTTTGATTAGGGCGGGTGGTCTTGGTCTTAACTTTGTAGGGGCCAATGTGGTAGTGCTCTTTGACCCCACGTGGAACCCAGCCAGTGACCTCCAAGCTATTGACAGGTAGGTTGTGGGCCTTATCTTACCATGTAAGTTAAGCTATAAGTATTCTGTCACTGTTTCACTTAACTGGCTTCAAAAAGCAGCCGTAGCTTCCAGTATAGCATAACTGCTAGTGATGTGCAGGTCAGGATTTATTAAAACCCGCACCAGCCCAGCCTGTAAACACATGCATAATCAATGACCCAAACTGCAAACACAAACTGGAGCTGAAGGTTTCAAGCGTTGACCTACTTGTTATTAGCTATATTGTACTGTATGTCATTTCCAGTAAATATCACAGTATTAAAGACAGCAAATACTTCCCAATACTCATCTTTTAGGTCGGTCATTCCCAACTTGTGGGTCGTGGTCCGAAAATGGGTCACAGGTCCATTCTTAATGGACCTCAAGTAACTTGCGAACATGTCAAGTTAGTAGAAAGCACACTTAATTTTTGAAGTACAGTGAATTCCCAGAACAACCTTTTATGTTGAAGTGCCATTTCCTGTTGTAGAGTGAGTGGAAGACAGACAGCTACTTAACAGAGACAGCAAACTGGCTCGACGACATGGCCAAACAACACAAGTATGATGCTGAATATATTAAACTCTATGGACCTTGAACTAATGACTAAGGAGAAATCTGGATCTCATGGCTGGACCAGTTGGGAACCATTGTTTTAAGCGGTTACATCTTTTGAATAATCTCGAGTGGTCAGCTGATAGCCTACTTGGATTGTTTACAGGAGCGCACAGCTTATCCATACAGTGGTTTGTTTCCATGATGTTACAGAAGTGCAAGTTCAACAGATTCACTTAGGACAGAGACACCCTTGCTTGCTGTTTTGGACACGTTCACAAACATTTTTAGCCAACATTATGACAGCAGACATTTAAATATGTTGGACTTCAACAGATTTTCCTGGTCAAAACAGAATAACAGAAAGCCTTAGTGCAGTAATGCTGATGATAAAGCCTGCAGTCTGTGGGTTGACCCGCACATCATTTGTACCTAGTCATATTCTGACTGATATCATATACACTGTCTGATATCAAAACATAAACATAGATCATTTTTACTATTCATATGCATGATGCCTGTGTGTTGATATGTTTGTGTCTCTTCAGGGCATATCGTATTGGCCAGTGCAGGGATGTGACTGTTCTTAGGCTGATCTCACTGGGGACTGTAGAGGAGGTTATCTACCTCAGACAAGTTTACAAACAGGTACTGGATTAATATAACCACACACACAAATCAAAGAATGACATAAAATACTGAATTTGTGCCTTTGTCCCATCTTCCAGCAATTGCAGAGCTCTGTTGTGGGCAAGGAGAGTGCACGGCGGTATTTTGAGGCAGTGAATGGTGTCTATAAGGGGGAGCTGTTTGGGTTAAGAAACCTCTTCAGGCTGCAGACCCAAGGGACTTGCCTCACCCGCAAGATACTAGAGGTGAGATACACACTTACTGTTTCATTATGATGTGTTCCACTGTCTCAATTTACCTTGTATCACCAGGGGTGTGGGACAGGTCTTACAAAACAGTCAACAAAACTTTTGCTTTATTTCTATTCTTTGGAATTTACTCTTATGTGTTTATATGGATTAGTAATGGAGGTCCTTCGCTCAAAGTGTTTTTGGTTTGATGTAGAGAACATGCCTAATACTCAAAAAAATGTCATGCATTGCCTAGAAAAAATGAATGTGAAAGATAACAAACTTTTTGTTGATGATTGTAATGTCATGGTTTACAATAATATGGTTATGTTCTGATTAACGTGTGACTCACTTTTGCTCTCCCTGTCAGCGAGAAGGACAAGTGGAGGCTGGTGTAATGACAAGCAGCACACACACAGGCGAGGAGAAGGAGGAGGAGGAGACGAAGGGAGTTAGCGTGAGTAACTCTGCCGTTCTCAGAGACCCAGAACTCGAGGGCACTCATCTTCCCCTCCCTCTCTCCGTCTGCTCTCCCAGGCGGCCCACTCATCCTCACATTCCCACGTGAAAGAGTCGATACCTCAAACAGGGACCTTCCTGTCTGTCACTCAACCTATTCATGCACTCTCATTTAACTTTCTCTGCCTTTAGCTCAAACTCTTCTTAATTGCTTTCTCAATTCTTCTTTGTCTTGTAATATTCCTGTTCTTTGAGGAGTTTATCCAAAAATGTCCCATTTACAAGTAAAAACAGCTTCTACTTGGACAAAAATGTCAAAATGAGATCAATAATGCTACTTTATAAAGGAAGAACATGGAGAAAGTGATATTGTGCTGAAAATCTTCCTTGTCAGTATCACATACTCACCCTGCTGTAGGCTTTGTAAAGGTAGCAGTAAAAAGTTTGTGGTTTCCTCACAGGAGTTGTGGTTAGCTTGAGTTCAGGAAGTTACAATAGATTGATTTTTTTATAGTGGGAAAAAGCTTTAAACCTGGAAATCTCTCAAACCACTTCAGCTTTAATCGTCATATTTTCAGCAAAATATGGCTCATTACACTGCATTCATGTCACATTATTATCCTCCTCAGATTGAAAAGTGCTCTTAAAGTAGTATTTGGCCTAAACTGTGAGTGTTTCCAACATACTGAGCATTAGTTTAGTGTTTTCAGAAGTTTGTATGGAAGTTTTTTTATTGCTTTTTTGCCATGAAAACCTGTAACAATTGGAGTCCATAGTGACTGACTGAGTTGAAGCTGACCTCCGCTCCTGTTCTCTGTCAGTGTGAGAACTACAAACTTTTTACAGCAATGCTTTCAAGTGCAGAGGATATTAATATTTAATTTTCTTCACATAAAAAAGCCACAATGCCATAGATTTTGGGTGGAGTATCATTTTAAAGCCATTTTCACACTCATTATTTTGTGTTGTAGGAAAACTAAAGGATGAGGCTCTCTTTGTCTGCTTCTCACTTTCTCTCTGATGCTGTGTGAAACAGCTGGTTGTAATTACTTGCCTGTCCTAATGGAAGGAGCAGACCACACTGAAGCCTGTCTTCTGCTTTTCAGCTATTTATTTACACAGTGATACCCCTTATCATCCTGTTCCCAGCCAGGTCCTTTTTACAGGGCTGCTGCTCCACCGAGGCCTTTCAGATTCTTTCAGAAATACAGAATACACTGGGGTGCCTTTACACGCACAGAGAGAGGCTCGAGGCGTATACGCACCAACATGCACACGAGCGCAACAGAATTGCGGAGGAGTCATCCAGTTGGCAAATTTTGTGAAATTGGAATCGCTGTTGGTGGTCGCTGCCATAAAGCTCCAGGAAATGTTATGACCCCTTTGTTTTCTTCATATTACATCATGATGGAGGGCATGTGTCACATTGATGTTTATTATGATTTATTGTTGCAAGCATCTGTTTTGTATTACACGATAAAAGTTCACATGGGCTGGTCCGCGCTACAAGATGGCGTTAACAAGGGAATTGAGGAATTTCTAGCCTTTTGGTGCAGTTTTTGTAGCCAAATATTTCTCACGCTGCAAATATACAGTTTATTTTGAAGTTTTGCATCAATTTCTTGTTCTCACACAACCTACTTTGTACCACTCTCTGTGCAAATTAGTAGGGCTGCCCCCTAATAGTCAACCAAACGTTAGTAGACCTGAAAGGTCATTAGTCGGCAAGATTTCATTGATCGCTTAGTCACAGAAAAAAAGAAACAAACGGGAAACTCTATCAGGAGCCGCGCCTTGTCAAAATAAATCAAAACCTATATGACTGGACCACGTGGGAATTTAATTTGAAAGGACAGACACAGGAAGTGACCACGCTCAGCAGTCAGACAGGAGTCACGTTAATTTCCAGGGCTGGTACCTGCGGTTATTCCACAGGCTAGTTAATAACATGTCGGTCAGGAAATCCAAAGTGTGGGATCATTTTGAGAAGGTGAAGGACGAACCCAAGGTGATATGTAAACTCATCTTCATTGGTCGACTACAAACATGACGTATCATCTGAAACATGGAAGTAGCTACATGCCCATTAGCCAACAGCGTCACTAACAGGTGGCTCGCTCAGTGTGTGACGTGCACTTGTAGATAAGATATAGGCCTATATTAATGAAGGTTCATTAATACGGTTTTGTATTTCTCTGTAATGTAGCACAGTGTTAACAATGTTACTTGAACTCAAACCATTGTGTTGCCCCGCCCAAAATATATAATTTAATAATGAGATCGATATCGTGAACATGCGGGCGACTAGTCGACTAATGGCCCTAAATGACGACTATTGGTTGACTAGGAAAATTCTTACTCTGGGGGCAGACCTACAAATTAGGGATGTTCCTAACAGTAAATTTCCCTGACATTTAAACAGAAATTTAAACAGTACGTCCAACTAATAACAAGCCTTAGTACGTACTTTCTGTGCTTGCAAGTCTGAGATTGAACTTGTGTGTTTGTGTGTGTCTGGGAAGGAGGCAGGGAGAGGGAGAAAGAGCTGTTGATGATCAGAGCTCCTGGTTACTCTTGTACGCTGATCTGGGCATCCTAATAATATGTTTAACTGACTAATATATCTGATGCGGACTAGCGAGGGTAGCAACATTTAACTGACTAGTTGACTAACACATCTGTTCTGCAAATCTGTACTTATCTGTAAATCTGAACTTTTCTTTAGCTGTTTGTTTCCACCTTTTTATTTAAGGCACCTGGAGAGTCTGCAGACGGCCCTGCTCCAAAGGAGCCTGCCAAGGAGTACAGAGATGCATCAAAGATGGCCATAGGCGTGTTGGACTTCAGCAGTGGGAGTGAAGAGGATGAGGAGGTGAGGGGACTGAAGAGAAAGGTGTCAAACCTCAATGCAGTGGATGGCAGCAGGGGTGTGAATGACACCACTGGTCCTGGTCGAATGAGTCTCCTCCAGCACGGTTTCTCCAGGCTCTTCGAAAGGGTCAAAGGAAAACCAGAGTCAGCAGAAGGGGACAGCAGTACGGATATAGAAGAAAGCCCGTCCGAGGAAGGTGCTGAGGATCAAAAGATGGAGGGTACCTCCTCTGGCATCCGCAAGAGCTCCAATGCAGGAAATGGTGCAGTCTGTCTCCCTAAGTTAGGAAAGAAAACCTGGGACTTCACCAGTGGTTCAGACAAAGAAGACAGGGAGAAGAAAGATGGGGCAAGACCAGAGAGGGTTTCTCTCTTGAAGCAGAGCGATGATGCTGTAAGACAGAGACAGGACCTGAAAGGGTGGGTAGATAAGAAAATTGTAGATGAGGAGAGTGATGAAAATTCCTCACCAGACAAAAAGAAACCTTACAAGCTTAAAACTCCAGTCCCAAAAGTGTCCCACTTTGAGGGTTACTCAGATGAATCTGAGGATTTTGACTTAGATGCAGAGACATGGCCCAAGAGGGACGCTTTAAATTCACACGGTGGAGGAGGTGACAGTGGGAGAGACTGCAATAGAAAGAGGCAAAGTGCTAAAGCTAGGAGCAAGGCCAGATCCAAACACACAGAAGACAAAGAGACATTCACATCTTCCGACGAGGAACACACTCCTGTTAAGAAAGCGAGATCTACAGGAGCTGCAACGGCTGACACGACAAAGAGACAAGCAGGGATGCCCAAAGCTGTTTCATTTACAAGTCTTAAACGTCAGACATCTTCAGCACCCAAAGGAAAGGATGTAACCATCGACAGCGTGCTAGGTCAGATTCAATATTTATTTTTTATATGCTGCTAATTTTTTTAACTTCATTTCAACATTAATGTATATTTCTGTTTAAAGGTGGTGTAAATGAGGTGGTGTACACCCATTCTAACCAGCGTGTGGTGGGAGGGAGCAAAGCAGAGCAGCGGATCAGCAGAGCTGCTGTACGAGACGTGTTTGAGCGAAAGATAAACTCTCAGCTGCCAGCCAATCACCTTCTAGACATCGACGAGGTACATACTGCTTTAACATTGATCTGGTTTAGACTTGTAAATGTAATTTTATGGTTGTCAGGGTTCTCATGGCCATGGGAAACCTGGAAAAGTCATGGAATTTCAAAAAATCATTGGTAGTTTTGGAAAGTTATGGATTTTTGTTGTGTGTTTCTGTAGATGTTGACGTAACAACATTTTGTTTACCATCATGTAGGTTTCTTCATTTTCCTCCCACACACCGTCTCTCCCTCCTTTTATGACAGCTAACTGAAATTCTGTTTGAATAGAGTTTGAATCTGATTTGTTTGAAAAATGCCGGGCGAGCTGGCAAAGTAAAATAAAATTAGTATGGGTTCCTGAAAAGTCGTGAAAAGGTTTTGCAATTTTTTTTCCATGAAAATGTGTGTGAACCCTGGGATTTATCTCGCCTTCCCAAATTTATTGTGGCCGACAAGAGAAAACGCGCTGCAACAGCCCAAAACATTTCCACAAGCAGGAACATGCTGCAGCTTCAGAAACAATTCCAAACCACATGTGAAAGTCTAAAACAAATACAACAATGGAAACGTGCAAAGTCAAAAACAAACCCCAAAAACAAGTACAACGGAAAAAAACTGCCTACCCAGTCAAAACAAAAGAGGCTAAGTGGTTGAGTTTGATTTTCAACCCCAGAAAAAGACCAGACGAGAGTTTGTTTTTGAAGAGAAAAGACAGGTGGAGTAAGGAGGTGACATGAAAAGCAACTTATTCTTTTTTTATGTTTGGCCTTAGTCTTTCCCAGTATTATAAAAAACATTTTTCTCTTTCATGGAAATGTTTTGGGCCGTTGTAGCACATTTGCCCTCGTCCACCACCGTACAAATTAGATTAGATAAATCAAATTACATTTGAAAAACTTACCAGGAATATATTTTTTTCAGAAACCTTGACAGGATTACTCAATAATCCACAGACCTCGCTGTAAACATTGTCATTTAGACCTGTTTTCTACCAAAGTGTGCCTGGCAATTATATATTGGCATGCAGAGTGAGGCTCGCCAGTATCAGACAAACATGCTTACTATGACACGAGTGACTCCAAACACACGTGGTTCTTAGCTTGACGATAGCTCAGTTTTGATTCATAATAAGGTCTGTGGACTCCTTTGTCTTGATTTTTGGATTAGAGGTATTTGATTTTCAGAGTGTAATTATTTGGTGTGCTCCACATCTCGTTTGATTGTACCAGAGCCTGTCACAGAGCCAACCAGACAGTGAGCTTTTCCCCTCGACTGTCACACTTGAGAAGCCCAGTGCGGACCATCCCGTCACCTTCAGCAACAAGATTGTGCTCCACAACAGACACACCACCATCATCATTGGAGAGACTCCCCAAGCCATATGCAGGTACTGAGAGGGTGTCAGACGAGGTGAGGTGAAGAGAAAAGAACGGAGGCAATAGTAGTTGGATAACACAACAAAGCTGAGAGGAAGAGATTTAGAAAAAGAGCGGATTGTAGATTATGAGATATGATGGATTTACCAAGAGAAGGGTTGAAGGGGTTTGTAGTTTTACTGTTTTTGAACACGGTTGGCTATTACTTCAGTTCATCAAGAATTCTTATTTTAAGTTTTATGCATGAATTTGACGTAATATGGGGTGAATAGTTGACATTTAAATGGACGTTTGAAAGGTGAAGTATTCCTTTAAAATAAGGGAGCCTGCAAGGTTTGAGTAAGAATAAATGAGGCCAGTGGAAGAACGGGAGAAAGGGGGTGTAAAAAGTGAAGTCGGAAGAGAGAGGAATTCCTGGCAGTGTTGGGAAGCAGGCCAAAACTTACCACAAATATAGTGTTGAGCGCCCCCACCTGGGCCTCAGGAATTGTGTGTGTGTGTGTATGTGCGTTTAGCGAGAGACCACCTCTGAGCTTTCCCTTCCACCTATTTCCCAGCATCATGCCAAAGATTACCCAGTTATGTTCAGGCCCAACAGTGCAGGAGTTTTCCCCTTCCACAACCGCAGCCCTCCTGAGACTAACCAAAAATGATTGCCCGAGGACTTCCAAACCCACACTGATATACACACACACACACGTCCTAACAAGCATTTACGCACACATACAGGCACACGGTGCTCAAACACACAACTCTGTCCTGCTGCATCACCTCCGCCCCCTACCTTCCCAAACACTCATATACAGACACACAGACACCTTTATGGGTCCAATCTCACTTCCCAAGGGGAAGGCTGTATCTCTGCCCAGAGGCTCACCAGGGAGTGAAAACACACACTAGTTATATTGATATCTCCTCAATTAACCTCGCTGTTTAACGATTTAAATCCACATGCGCGTCATATTTTACTGCAGTTGCTTTTATTTATTGTTTTTCCAGTGAAAGCCACAAATGGTAATAACACCACCATAATGCTGCTGTACCACCAGCGACTTTGAAGTATTTCTGTCCCCGAGTCTGGTTAGACCAAAGTTTTAATGACTGCCTTGGAGCTGAGGAAAAACACCTCATACTGCACGGCTGTCTGGATATGAGCCTGAATATGTGGAGAACTATTCATCTTAGGCTAGGCCTGACAGACCCGCAGAATATCAGATTAATAGTGTAGGCCTTGTGGTTTCTTAAAGACGTTATTTTACGTGTGATTTAAAGTACCTTACTGTATGCTCACATGTGCCAAATTCAGGCCTCATGCTAACTGTACGTGTCTGAATATGCTGTTAAATTTAGCAGATGATATTAGTTATAAAACCATTGGCATTTTTCGAGAACGTGCATGCATGTTTATTCACACTCATTTGTCCTTTGTGCGCAGGCAGCAGCTGGAGGAAATGTCACAAACGTTCAATTATCCCTCAGTCCAGCAGTTTGCAAAAGAGATTCTGAGTGGAAACTCAACCCACAGACTGGCCTGGCTTCGAAAGTATTACACCTCACAGAACCACCCTGACCTAACCAGTACAGTCACAAACAACTTCCCACAACCTGATTCAGCACAGGCCTCCTCCTCTTCAGCTGCTACTTCTTCATCATCCACCAAAACAGCCACAAAATCTCGCACACATACCAGAACCCCACAAAAGGATGCTCCAAAAGCCAAGAGAAAGCCTAAGTACACTAAACGGAATCCTGAAGCTAAAACTAAGCCCAAAACCCCACAAAACAATGTTCCTGCGCCACAGACAAAGCCTAGAAAGCCACAAAGTGATGCTCCATCACCCCAGAGAAAGCAAAAGATCCCACGAAGGAATGTCCCAGAACCTCTAAGTGATGTTCGGAGCCTTGAGTCAGAGGAGCAGGAGGAGACAGCCTGCGGTGCCAGAGGACCTAAGAGGACAAAGAGGGGTAGTGTTTCTAGTTCTGGAGCCTTCAGAGCTGGTGGTGGTCTTGGCTTGGAGCAGGCCAGCAGCAGTGGTCCGGGGTCTGGGGAGGCTGCTGCTTTCCTGAACCGCGCAGACAGAGATATCCCTTCTTCTCCGGACCTCAGCCATGGCAGGTCCACCGCGTTATCCAAACCCACAGCACAGGGAAGGGAGCAGGAGCGGGAGCAAAAATTGTCTTCCAGGACCAGCGAGACTTTTCAAGGTCAGAGAGAAAATCCCCAGACCCCTTCCCTTCCTGCGCGGGGCACGTCCACCTCCACCTCCAGTCACCATTCCCTCCTCACAGATCTGATAGGAGACACCTCGATTCTTGACGATTTGTTAAAACCCAAACCCAGGGGTGCACAACAGAGGGACACCCCAAAAACACCCCCTGCACCCTCCTCTGTTTCAGTAAGCACGTGTGTCACTTCACCGTCTCCATCCAGAGTAACTGTCAGGACTGATTCTCCTTCAGCAGGCTGCATAGACTCTCTGACCTCTCCAAAGTCGAACAAACCACCTTCACAGCCGGTGGTGTCAAAGAGCAGTCGCAGAGACTTCTGGGACATCCTGAATGAGGGTAACCAGGAGAGCATCAACAGGTTAACAGACCCGGCGGAAGTGCAGCGGGTTTGCATCACCGCTAAGTTTGCAGCGAGAGGTAGATCTAAAGAAGAGGAGAGCAAAAATCTCTGGAAGACTAATGACAAGTTCCTGTGGAAGAAATAATACAGGAGAGACAATTTTTATTTTAGTTTATTTTTCTATTTTACACCTTTTACTTTCGCAGTTTTAAGGAAGATGGTTAAAAAAGACCTGAATGGAGATTTAAAGCAGGTTTTCTTGCTGCAGATATCTATTATTTTTTAAAAGTTTGTACCTTTTTAGAATATTTTATTACTGTAGTTATTTAAAAATATTTAGTGTTTACTGAATAATTGGGTTACTAGCATAACTGTTACTTAATAAACAGGGTGTTAATCACTCTGGGAATTTAAACCTTTGTATATTTTATGGACGTCATTGCATCGTTTATTGCTTTATTTCTCTTTTTTTCTTTGACCTAACACACAGTCCACGAGGGAGCAGTCTAATACAGTAGTTCCCAACTGGTTCAGTCTCAGGGTCCAGATTTCTTCTCAGTCATTAGTTTAAGGTCCACATGTTTTAATATTTTCATTGTCATGCTTGCGTTTGGCCATGTCGTTGAGCTAGTTTGCTGTCTCTGCTGAGTAGCTGTCCATTATTCACTCATTTTACAGCAGGAAACAGCACTTCAAAATAAAAGCTCTGTGCCAACTCAGTGTGTTTTTTACAAACAACACGTTCCTGAGTCACTTGCGGTCCATTCAGAATGGACCCGTGACCCACTTTTGGACCACAACACACCAGCTGGGAGCCACTGCTCTGATGTGTCATCACGGAGGCATTTACTTCTTCTTCTTTAAAAAAAAAAAAGTGGAAAAATTGAGGCAAAAAAAAAAAAATCACAATGGTAAGTTGTAAATATGTAATAGAGTGGTTCAGGGATGATTTTGTTTTGTTTTTTTTGTAGAATGACATGGAAGTTAGTGTTGCCCTGGTTCCCTCCACAAAAGCCAGTGGGATGTCCATTGGATTATTGCAGAAAAAAAGCTCTGTTGCCAACAAGAATTACTGATAATTGCATGGTTTGTTCAGCTAAATAATCTCCACAAATGAATACCAGTTTTAGGAAGCATTAATACTCTTGCCAGATGATGGGCTATAAACAGGCTACAGACATACTTGGATACCACCATTTTTAAGACATGTAAAGCCTTCAAAATTCATGACAGTGGTATTTACTGACGTATTTTTGTCATGGAACAAAATGTGAGAATATTTTAACCCACCTTATTTCAGTCATCTAATCAAAAACCCACTGACTTTGAGACAAGGGAATCAAAAATGCTAACTAATTTCCAAATTTCAGGACTCATTCCTGCACTCCTATATAGGGCTAAAACCCTAGTTAATAATGTACTATGAGGAAAATGGCAAATTCTTACATTTGAAAAACTGGAACCATGAAATGCTGTGCTTTATTGCCTGAAAAATAACTCAGTTAATTGATTATCTTATTAATTACAGGTTAATTATCTGCTGATGAACTCATCATTTCAGCTCCCATGTTCTATAAAACTGGTGAAATTAACTATATAAATGAGTTTATGCCTCTTATGTGGATATATAGTTAAAGGTCAGTGTCAACGCTCAAACTGCTGCACTTAATATGATAAGTGGATGACAGAGAAAACCCATCCCGCTGTAAGCATTAGCCATTATCGTTATTCGATACCACGACTGCCACCGGGGGACTGCTGGTGGCCATGCAGAGATATCACTTAAAACTCCCTAATGGCTGTTAACGTCCCCGTCACTCTGAACACCTCGCTGCCTCCCACTTCCCATGAGAGTGTTCATATTGTGTATGTGGTGTGGGTTCCCTGCACAGTGTTCTGCACAGTAATCTGATCGTCTGTGGCTTGGGCTCAGTTGTGCCGCAAACGCCCCTCAGAGTGGAAGCTGCTGCGCTATTAGTGAAATAACAATAAGCAGTTGAAGACTTAGTGGAGCAGGGAGAGGAAGGATGGGGGCCGTTTTTACACCCATCCATCCACCCTGGTCCTCTCACGCTTTTAGGTGAAGTGTGTTTCAAACTGTGGTGACAGAATAATTTGCACCACTTCAAAAAAAGCACAAAAAAAGTTAGGTGACATATCAAAGTTATAGCTTTAATGTGAAAACTAAGTGAGTGTGTGTGCGTGCATGAGTGTGTATGCATGTGCTGACCCTCACAGCTGTGTCCGACCTCTTTCAGCTGTTGCACTGAAGTAAATAGAGCCCCAAAGAGAGCTGCTCTGAGGAAGTGTTGTGTTCTGTTTAGCAGAAATGAGAAAGTGCTGATAGCGATCTATAAACAAGAGAAAGGACTACGTGCCTCGACAGAACATGTAGCTTGGTAAATAGTGGTGTGTGTGTGTGTGTGTGTGTTTGTGCGTGCAGACTTTCTGGGTGGTAGATCATGACTATCTTACACACATATTCTGAGGCCACACATCTGTCACACCTGTTCAAATCATAGACGGAGGAGAATAAAAAGCCCTTTCTCCTATCCCAACCCCCCAAGCCCTTCCCTCGCTGCCTTTCTCTGTCTGTTTCACCCACAACCAAGATTTGCAGATCCCTATCTGTCTTTTTGTGGTCATAGTCTGGTTCAAGTGAGATAGCAGAGCGACTTAGCATTTAACTGACAAAAGAAAGGCTCGCCAGCTGACTGACAGTGGTTGGAGGCTAATGGAGGCCGGCTAACATGGCTCAGTGGCGAACAAAGCTCTCTTATCCGTAATGCTAACTGCGGGATTCTGTCAAGGATCTGGAGTGAGACACATAACCCACCATGAGTGATCGGTGACAATGTCTCAAGTCAGCCTGATGATTGTATTTTATTTTATTATACGCCGTGGTCCAATTTGCTGTACCGTGAAAGAGTCACGAGAAATACCACCAAAGAGAAGGTGTGTTTTTCTAGTTCTCCCATTAGTGTCTCCTGTCTTTGTGTCAGGAGCAGGATGAGAAGTCTGTTTACATTTCCTGCCACTATATCCTGCGTGTCTGTGAGGCTGTTATGAACAGGACGGTCAGACAGCGGCGGAGGGACGGCCCTGGCGATGGAGGTTTATTTGCAGAAGTCAGACTGTGACACTTAGTTTGATTTGATTTGTTAAAAGCTGTGAATGAGGGTTGACCTGTGCTGACCCGCGCCTCCAGTCATCTTTAGCTCAGGTTTCAATACATTCATTCTGCAATGTGTTAAAAGGGTCTGCAGAGTGGTGATTAAGAACTGTAGTTCTAGTATGAATGCATAAAACATTAAAGCCCCTGCAATAAATGTCCATGACTAAATAAGCATGGAATACAGTATCAAAAAAACTTAAAAAAAATAAAATAAAATAACTTAAAATACTAATCATTTCTTAAAGACGGAGACATAAAAACATTTCTTAAATTAATCCTAATCCTCTTTCATGTGTCTCTGTGTTCTCTTGGTTTGTGGCAAATTACTATATATTTTTGCGTTTTACTTATAGCAGGATCCTTCTCTTGCTGTAAGACAATACAATAGTTTGGAACTTTGGGGTGTATACATGCATTTATCATTTGGGACTCTGATTGTTCATCATTTGGGGCGGCAGTAGCTCAGTCCATAGGGACTTGGGTTGGGAACTGGAGGGTTGCCTGTTCAAGTCTCTCTCTCTCTCTCTATATATATATATATAAAACCACATTTGACAGTTAGCTTCTGGGTAGTAGTAGCTAGCATAGTAACACGGTAACACATTTGAACCACAAAATTTCAATCCCTCCCTCTTGTGACCATATACCCTGTGCCAGTGGTTCTCAAATGGTGTGCCGTGATGCCAATCCAGTTGTGCCGAGGGATTTTGTTATTGCAATATTCGACTGGGCCTATACAAAAAGTTATGAGTTAGGTTTTTTTTGTTTTTGTTTTTTTTTTAAGGGCATTTTTAGCCTTTATTTGATAGGACAGTCAAGCATGAAAGGGGAAAAGAGAGAGGGAGAGACATGCAGCAAAGGGCCACAGGCTGGAGTCGAACCCGGGCCGCTGCGGCAAAAGCCTTGTACATGGGGCACCTGCTCTACTACTAAGCCACCGACGCCCCGTGAGTTAATTTTTAATTGACTGTATCAGTATGTAATGTGCACCACCTGTATCGTAAAAGAGTCAAACCCTTGCTAAAAAATATGATTTAATTCAATTTAATTAAAAAAAAAACCTAATGGGGAACCTATTTGTTGCTGTTTGTGCCTGGGAATTTTAAGTGTGTGACACATCAAAAGCCCTGATTGGCAGCCAGTGTGAGTACGGAGCAAATTATAACAAAGCACCAGCAAAGACGACCTACCACCGAAATAAAAAGAGTATCATGAACACTACTTATCTCATTTTTTCCTTAATTTTACTGTCTTATGTTGTGATAAGAGTGGTCATACACATTATAGAAACTACTATACTGTATATTTATGAACCTAAATACAGGTGTGCTTTGGGCACAAAAAGTTTGAAAACCACTGCCCTATGCAGTGTGCACAGGTCCGTATCACTTGAAAAACTCTGTCACGTTACAGAAGGTGATTTAACTTAAGTTTCACTGTGACTTCAAGAGTTTAATGCTAAAAAACAAATCTACTTCATCAGGATTGTGTGGATGGGGTTTCATGAGATTCGACAATAACAAAGTGTCATCAGTTTCTAATTTAAATTATGCCAAACCCTAATGGGTGCACAGGCGTGTGTGACATCACCATGCTAACTGAGTCCCTGCCACTTCAAACCAGTGGAAGGACAAAAACACAAACAGAAATCTCTCACCAAATTGTTCCTACTTTGGCAGGAGACTGAGTTCCCATGGGATCCCGTCACTCATGGTAAGAAGCTGATAGAGAACATTTGTTTTTAGGGCCTTTAAAGGTCCAGTATGTTTGGGAGGATCTATTGGCAGAAATATAAAATATAGTATTCATGATTATGTTTTCAATAGTGTAAAATCACCTGAAACTATGAATGGTTGTGTTTACATGAGCGTAGAATGAGCTCTTCATATCTACATAGACATTTTTTTTTCTTTTTTTTTTGAGCTCTTACTATATCCTTTATTGTTTTTATTTATTATTATATTTGTGTATGATTCTATTGTATTTTAATAACTGTATAGCACTTTGGTCAACTGAAGTTGTTTTTAAATGTGCTTTATAAATAAAGTTTGACTTGACTTGACCACCATGTTTCTACGGTAGCCCAGAACGTTACCTGGCAGCCTCCATAGGTTCTCTTGTAAAGACAGGGATGAGTGCAGGGGTATTTAGTTGGTTACAATCTGTCAAAAAAAAACCCACCTTTTTTCCTACCTGTTATACAGAATTTAAAAACAAAAGAAGTTAGAAAGACTATCCAGGCAAAACCTTTTCTTATCACCTGTTATCACCAGTCATAAACACAGGAGAGAAAACACTTAAGATCCGACTCAAAGTGGATCACCAGATTTTTCCTTCTCACTCGCCCCTCAAGGCTTTCGTGGAAACCTCACCGCTTGATGCCACTGACTCCTACACACAAGTATTAAGAAACGTGTATCATTAGCGTGTGATTCTCCACAGGGCAACTGTAATAATGTATC